TATATTCGACATGGTTCAACGTACCTAAATAACAAACCATATTGTTAAACAGAGTACGTACACAAAAATAAAAACTAAACGCTACAAATACAAATAATATTTTAAATACGCTTTTAAAATTTAGTACTTGTGTAACAAGTATACAAAACGTGTTAAAATCGCACGTCCGCCAGACAACGATTATTCTCACTTGTCGTGAAAAACATTTCCTTGTACACCACCAGTGGCGATTTAGCTCTGTCGCCTGCTGACAGCTAAGGATGTGCCTCTGAGTAGCATTCATTAATAACCAAGTGAATTTAAAAGAAAACCTTATGTGTAACTGAAAGTATTGTAAAGACACGACGCCTCGTGTGGTAGCCTTGTACTTTCACTGTGGAGTAGTGTGGAGGTGTTAGTTTGACACACACATGACAGCTGTTAGTTTACATCCTGACTTAGACAGGCTAAGAATTAAAATGACATAGACCAACTAGTTTTAATGGAAAAAAAGAGAAATAAGATAACGTTTTGATCGTGGTTCTTTAACCATGACTGAAAGAACAATGGCAGGTCTCCATATGATAAAAAGTTCGGCTTTTTTTACATCTATGTGTAAAACAATTTTATTTAGGAAAGCCTGAGAAAAAGTTTTAGCATTTGATTTTAGTTAATGCACTGAAGAATAATAATAATATTATAGCAAAAATAATAATAATAATAAATAATTAATAATAATTAATAATTAATAATAATTAATTAATAATTTATAATATAGTTAATTTATTTTATTTTATCGGCTCTTATATCTATTTATTTCCGACTAACTAGTTATTTGATATCTTTATTATATTAACAGAATGTATGTTGTGTAATTAATGTATGTAATTATCACTTTTATTTGTATGTTTATTGTATTCACATATTGTTTATTGTAATTGAACTGTGCACACGTCCGTGAGGTACCTTTGGGCTTCAGCTGAAAATCAGCGCTGTGGTCACTTTTAGGGACTATAGCATAGGCTGAGTTGTGGCCCTTTAGTCACACACAGTGATCATTTTATTCTTTTGTACTTGTTTGTTTTTGTTATTGTTTGTGATATTTTTCAGTTGTGCAAATTGTTTCTTTTCTTTTTCTCATCAATGTTATATCTGTAATCCCTTTTTTGGCTGTGTTGGTGTTGTGACTAATAAACGTATTTTCTTTCTTTCTTTTCTTTTCTTTCACTGCGTAATTTTTTATCTGTTGACTCTTATAACATAGCTGCACAATGTTTTCTTTATTTTGCCTTAATTTACGAGTATCTATGACAATCGACTCTTCAAATTTGTTTCTGTATTGTTTTAAATAATAATGTAAGTGTATCTGTGCCACCTAAATAAAGTAAAAAGTGAAAAAAAAGCATTATAATAGTACGCCAGCTTGCAGTTGCCACTTTATTTTTTTTTGCTACCTTGCATTCCGCTACAGGATTCTAAAATACGTAAATAATAAATTTAAAGATGTAACGTATACTACAACTCTTTTTTGATTCAGTACTTATAATTATAAAATTATAAATGATTACGATTGGACAGTATTCCCTCTACTTAAAAGAATTGGTGTAAAATCGCAACACTAAACTGATAAAGCATAATTAAAAAAACCTTGTAATATTTTTTTCTTTTCCTCGGGTCACATTGACTTTAGACGATAGTTTCAAAAAACGTAGATATTTATTTGAATGAGTTTCCTATGAATGAAATTTTAAGACGCTCAAATTATAATCAAATAAAAAGTCGCCATTGCACTTTGGGTGATTGAAGAGTATTTGGTTAGAAATTCAAGAGCGTTTGAAGTGAAAAGATAAATTTAGAGCTGGCAAATTCTATGGGAACATATGTATTGTTTCACATTAGTAGAAAATGTAGCGACCTCAATAGGTAGAAGTAAGTAGTTTACAAACAAGTTTGAAAGGAAAAGAAAGTGTTATTTATTTATTTATTTATTTTAAACTTAATGCACATATTGTACAAAGGCGGACTTAATGCCATTAGGCATTCTCTCCCAGTCAACCTTCAGGTGATGTAGAAATATGATGCGGTAGGTGCAAAATAAAATATGATATTAACATAATTTAGGTCCAGAAACATACACAATATAAAAACACACATGCATACATAAACCTACATAAATTTAATAAAATATATAAATACTCAGTCGGGAACTAGAGCTGTAACTATTTCGCCAATTCACCCCGAAGAAGATCGCGCACTTTTCCCTTGAATGCAAGGCGATTTGTTGACATCCTGATTTCGGCAGGGAGGGCATTCCAGAGGAGGACTGACTGGACGTAGAAGGAGGAAGTTGATGAAGTTAGAGGTGTGAGGGGGGCAAAGAAGAAGCATATTGTTGGTTGATCGAAGATTTCGATCGTGATTGGAGCATAGGAAACGGAAGTGGGGTACGAGGTATTCGGGTAACGATGGAGAGTTGAGGAAAGAAAAGAGAGAAGTCAGTGCTCGTAAACTGCGGCGCTGACGAATTGGGAGCCATTGCAGCTGGGAACGTAAAGCAGACACGTGGTCATACTTGCGAAGATTGAAAACGAATCGAATGCAGTTATTGAGAAGGCGATCTAGTTTATTGAGAAGGTCTGCATTCAGGTCGAAATAACACACATCACCATAGTCGATTATGGGAATAATTAAGGACTGCATAAGCGTAACCTTAGTTTTAGCGGGAAGGAAGTTCTTCAATCGATATAAGGCACGGAGACATGTGGTGACTTTCTGGCCGACGTGTGTAACCTGTGCCCGCCAGTCAAGTGTCGAGTCGATATATAACCCCAGGTTCTTTACCACTGCACTATAAGGTATAGTCACATTGTTGTAGACAACTGGTGGGATGACCGCCATATCGAACCTACTTATCATTTGTTTGCTCCCCACGACGATCACTTGACATTTGGTTGGATTTACCGACAAACCAAACCTCGTTGACCAGCTATTTATAAAGTCCAAGTCCTTGTTGACTTTGTCGATAGCGTATGTTATGTCCTCAACCCTTGTCTGTGTGTACACTTGTAAGTCATCTTCTAGAATCATCATTTCATTTTCTAGAAGCGTCAATCATTGTCACAAGAAAAAAAAGTACATTATTAAGATTATTATTATTCCTAACAAATTATAGGAATCTTAATCATACCTATAACTATTCTATTAATTATTATAAACAAGATTTATTACAATTAATACTTTTTTTTTTTAAAGACAACTCGCATTAGGAATATATCCTGTGTCGCTGGGGACTACCGATGAACACAATTCAAAATTATTTCTCAAATATTTAAGGCAAGGAAATGTACATGCGTTCGGTACATCCCTAAACCCCGCCAACTTGTCCAACTCAAATAACAAATGCTGCAATACAATTTAAACTTTACTCCCTTAAGATTACAAGTCATGCAAGAATGAAGTAAAGCTGTTGTGCAGCAATCTTGGAAAATGCAAAGTGCAAGGATGCGCAGGCAAAGTACGGCATTAATCTGGGACGTTTTTAAACTTTTTCATTGAAAGTAACCGTTATATTTTTATAAGCTACCGTCTTTTTACAGGAAAATATTTATATTGTTAGGAAACCACGAAACATTTTACTACTTCCGAAATGTACCTGGGACCGTAGGAAAACCATACGTATCACTTCGGTTGAGTCAGTTTGTTAATGTTCGACTCAACCGAAGTGATACCACGGCATTACAGAAAACCGGTGTTCAGCAATTCTTTCCTTGCTTTTCACTGCGTAAGGAACCGGAGCCCAAAACCCTCTATTTCTGGAGGAGGGGTGTCCCAGAGCGTCCCGCGCTCTGAGCCCGACTACGTACTTGTGACTCTTGAGGTCCAGGTGTGCATGAACGGCAGTTGTCACTTACGATCTGCTACATATACCATAAAAGAAACGATATTTGGACCCAAAGCAAAGACAGGTCCATATTATATGTAACAATATTTATACGTTGTAATAACATCAAACTTTAAACTATTCTCCCGTAAATTGTATTAATAATAACAAAAAGATCACAATCAGTGCAGTGATGTCCTTCAGAGGTTATCTTTTGTCCCTCTGCGGCTCTACAAACACATGCGCTATCATCACACATTCGACTTTGGCAGAATTGTCGACAACGGCACAGTTTATCATATACAAAAAAAAAAAAAAAAATTTTTGTTGAAATATTTCATAAAGAGCCTGGGTCGAGTTCGAAGGTAGTCGGACATCCGGCGAAAACACACGTGAGTGAAACGGTATATCTTTAATAAGTATAAATTTTACGGACATTCCGAGTGGTACAAGTAAGCCAGTCGATTTATGACCGTTCACTTAAAGTGTGCCTGGACTTTCGGAGCTTCTACATAAGCCTCTTTGTTATTTGAAATGGAGATACTTGTATTTTTACTAGACTCCATAATGGAACTAATTGCAGCTTTTACTTACGAGAACCACTTACGTTTTTTCCCTCAAAATGTTTTTCATTGACATTTTTTTTTTTGAAACAAGGTTATTTCCATACTATTCTATAATAGAATCATTTTCGATAAATTGTGATCACTAAGTCGTCCATATTATGGTGCATGATTTTAAATCGCTTAGAACAGTGTCGTGACCCATTGTTTACACGTCAACTTGAGTATTAGTCTAAATTTTCATTAACAATATATTTCTAAAACTTAGTAATCCATTTAAACGTTCTGAAAATATGTCCCGAAAGTTCGAACTTATGGTTTGTTTATTTGTTTGAATACTTTAATCTCGTAGCTTCATAGTCGATAGGTTATATAGTATCATACTATGATTCATAGGAGCAACTTTTTTCAATTTGACATGTGAAACAATTGAAGACTAGCAATATTTAAATGAAAACTATTTACCTGACGGTATATAAATATTCTGCGGAATCTTGACAATCATACTGGTTTTCTCTATCGGAAACAGTATATTCTTTCTCAAATAGCATTTTTTTAAACCTAATGTGTTCTTTCAGGTATGCAAACCCGATACCAAGTATCACCAATGGACACGGCAGCCGGCCCAGACGCGCACGGTGCGGTACTTCGCATTGAGCCAGTACGCGCGCAGCGAGACGACGCGACTTACGAGTGCGTTGCTGAGAATGGAGTAGGAGACGCAGTCACTGCTGTCGCTACCTTAATGGTCTTTGAAGGTAAGTAGTAGCATAATATGTGGCAGAAATATCGACAAGTATTAGTATTAGACGCGACCAAAGCTATCCGCGATTATTACATGTTTCTTTTCGAAATCCACTCTGATACCACACACCGGTGCTTATGTCGGACTCTAACAGACTAAAAACTGTACGCCATCTCAGGTACCAGTAGCCGGGGAACCAGGTGTACCCTAGGAAGCCCTGGAACCACGACGTACCCCGGCCATCTACGGCATGTAGATGAGCCCCTCGTCTGTGACTTTATTTTACCTCATATTCTTTGAAACTAAGACTTATATCAGATCTGTTAATTATACCTGTTCCTTAAGTCTATAGTCCTAAACTCTAAGTCTCTAGTTAGAAAAGTACTTACGTTTGCCGCGAACTTTTCACATTCTTGTAATATTATACGGATAAATATCTAAGCGTACAGGAACTTACAGTAATTGTAAAGTTTGGTACCGACTTGCAAATAAAACTACTTACACACTTACGAAGAAATGTAAAGGTTCTTTTGTGGATACTAAGCAGATAATTAAGAAAATAGCTTTAACATAAAAGTGCGCTTAGTGGCACTTCACTCATGTCTGGAGCGGCTCTTTTGTTTAAAAAAACACTAGTGTTGAGTTTCACTAGTAAGATTTAACTACGTTCTTTATTTGAAATTGCCTTAGGGCTGGTGGTATATACATAAAACTGTTTTTTTTAAGATTCAATTCCTATTAAATTTACATTTTTCAAGTCATTAAACGTGTGATTGAATTATCTTTTTACAAGCACAATCGATAACTGACAATAGGTCTTCTTTATTTATAACTAGTATTGATTTAGCTAACACGCTCACAGAACATTAGCTAATACAAAATATACGATAATTAGTATATTTAATGCACAATCACTATTACGATATTCTACTTATGTTAAGTAAGATCATATTACATACTTCTATATTACTATTATAAGGAATATAAAATATCTGTTTTATCTATTTTATTTATAAGTGTATCGTTTTATTTATCAGTGCTTATTAATAAAATGAATATAACCCTGTATATTGGCCACAACCATAAATGCACTACGAAAAACGAAAATCTGGTAGGAAGTTTACGAGCTAAACCAGTGCAATCTCAGCCCCGAGTCCAAGATAGTCCCGCCAGGAAGTATGGGTACATAAAGCTGTCTTTAATTCTAGTGGTACTTTCTCTTCTTTTATAGTTTTATCTTGTCCGGTACCATGCGATACGTAGTATGGTTGTACATTAAATTAAGTATGGAATGGCGAATTCGTTTTAGTTGTCAATTTCAAAATTGTTTGATTCTCTCTCTTAGCTTTTTTTTATTTTCTATTTTATGAGTTAAATAACAGCATTTTTATCTATATAATAAAAATAACATAATTTAGAGTTAATGTTTTATGATTCAAAATTAATCTTATTCCAATTCCCAAATGTGCTGAATTAATTTAAACAAATACATTTCAGACGTGTTTAAAATTCTGTCGACATAATTTAATTATTTTCCCATTGCATACCTGCAAAACAATGCAAAAGGTTTAATGTAAAATTACAGCCATTTTAGTACCGTTATAATAAAACCTAACCTGAAAAGTAAAAACATGTATCCGTAAAGCTTCCGTTAATCACTATCTATTAATTTTTAATAACTTAAACTTCTTACTAACAAGAATCAGTGTAAATATTTATATCAGTAACAAGTAAAAATACGCATCTTAAAAAATAACAATTTGTTCACCTAACACACTACACTTAATATTTTTTTATGTTATTCAAATTCAAATACAGAATAAGTAGAACCGTGCATTCCTTTGCACTGTGATTTCAGTGGCTCACCGTAACTGCCCTCCCGCACATAAAATAGACTAGCGCGGACACAATGATCCTTCCGGGACATAACTCTATGGTAAGACGGGCTTCCTTGCAAACCCGGCCGGTAAGGCTTTCAATAAATAAGCATTAAAAGCTGTTGATAACGACCGCGACAAATATACCGAGCGTTAGTGCTAATTGGTTTTTATGAGTGAACTGATTGTTGCTGACTGGTTGGATTTTTGGTAACTGTTGGTTCAGTGCGACAACGATCTTTTGGCGCGCGGCCAAAAATGGAACTACGGGCGGCATGTTGTTAATGTCATTACACTATGGTTTTATTCTTTTAACCAGTTTTTGTTGCTACAGTTTAAAAAATAAATTTTTTGAAGATAATTATGAAAGCGATACGATTACCTTCCTATGAAAATGATTAATGTAAATAAAACATTTTTTACGTTGTCTATTCTGTACTAAAAATTGTTCAGTATTATTCAACTAAAAAAAATACATATAATATATTCTAACTGACAAACCATTCATCATAACTAAAACAACCCATTCAGATGTACCCATCATATTCCAATCATAATACCTGAATCGAAGTTTTATGTCTTCATGTACATATTCAATAATAAAATCCGATCCGGCCACGATACGAAACGGTAATCCCGACTGTTCCATAATTTGCTAATTTTAAATTAATGAAAAAAAAAAACTTATTCAATATGTTAATTATTAGGCTACGTTTTGTAAACAAATAAAAACTTACAGTACTTTTCTTAGCCTTTATCTCATAGGATGCAAAGTTCTGTTGAAGTCTAAAAGAGCTCAAATGGCAATTACCTCTACTTAAGCCTGTGTCTTGTTCCCTGATGTGAGTACGATCTTCAAAGGGTCCTTGAGATGTACCTCTCGAAGGGATCAATCGTGATCTAATCGATATATTTGGTTACTGTCAGATTTACGTACGCTGTATCTATTCTTATAAAATATGATAACTACCTTTTACTCGCAGTTTCGCTTGTCTTTTTATATTTTATCACTTGATCTAGCTCTTTAATTAGATAAGCTTTTGTATCCCTTTTATTATTTTTTCTGTATCCCCGACAACCAGTAGTGTATGTAAAAATGTTTATAACTAAAATAAAATTACCCATACTCGAGTCCTATAACAGAAATTTCCAATTAAGTCTGTCTCTCATGAAATATAGAAGAAATTCGTGTATTTACACTCGCTTCGAACCCCATTACACAACGGAAACTTCTAACCAACAATTATCAAGTTCACTCAACTGCACATCATACGACTTTCAAATTGTCCCAACAAAATACGATGACATTTTCCGAGCGAGTAAATGAAAGCCCCAGAATTATTACAATGATAAGTTAAGTTGCCGATTTACGAAGCCACGTCGCGGTGTAATTGACGACTAAATCGCGATAATTACGTCATAACTCAAGTGAGCCACATTTAACCCTTTTGCATATATTTGTGGCGAATTAGAGCTTATTTTGTGTTCGGTTTCGAGTTGTGTTACGTCACTGATCTTGTCATCCTCGTTCGTGTTGAATGATACGAATTTCAAATTTTGTAATTTGAAATTAGAATGTTCCTTTGTTGCGTGACAATACATTTTGTGGGAAATTCAATTGTGTGTTATTCGAAATTAGACTTTTCTTAGACCTAATACAGCATGTTTTATGATTGCTTATGTCTTCTACACAATCACAAGCATTGATTTGGATCATTCCTTGTGATATTCCTATATTAGTAAGGCCCGGACTCCACCAAAGCGAAGATGTATGAGATGATTTCAGCTAGGGTGTATCCACCGAAGCTGTGCGAACTGCGTACTGGCTAGAGTAGAGCAGCGCGGACATGAAATTAATCATGGATTAATAAAAATCTTTTTTTTTTACAAAAAGTACCTGTTTTTTATTGAGAACTTAAACAAATTTATATTTATCAGATGATCTGAAAATTTTGATATTTCTAGTTAAATCCTCCTTAATTTAAAAATTAAAACCCCTACCACAATCGCTTGAAGAAAAGGTCACTTTTGACAAAAGTTGACAGTTTGCAAAAATCTTACAACATTTTGACCTGAAAATTTAACTGTAGTTACAGAACTAGAACACTGGCAACATATTTAAATTTCAGCTCTCTATCAGTCCCCGAACGCAAGTTATCAATTTACCAAGTTTGCTAAAAAAACGTGGTTCTTTGTAAATTTCGGGCGTAGTGATGGTCCGATTTTGCTGTTTGGAGGTTCATTTTTTTGTTTTCTTTATTTCACACATTTGTTAAATTCAACTTTTTTTCGTAGGAACTTCAGTTTTGGCTTAAGACGCAAAAAACTGTTTTTTACCATTTTGAAAAAAGAATTGGCACTTTAACTGACAATATTTTGAATTTGTATATGAATTTTTCAAGATTTTTTCGCTAATTTTACCTGTCTAAATTTGGAATCAAAAGCTGTTGAGTTGTGTTTTTAAATGTTTCGGTAACATATTATCGTCAATGTCATGCCTCACACTAGTTTTTTTATATTTTAATGACTTTACTTTCACTTGTTCTCAATCATCACCAGCCTATCGCAGTCCATTGCTGGACATAGGCTTCTCCCATAGCACGCCAGTTAGACCGATTTTGGGCTTCTCGCATCCATATTTATAATATAATTTTATGTAACCTTCTATATAACTAAATTGTCAAATAAGTACATGATCATCAAGTGTCCGTTGCAAACCCTATCCCCTTTTCTCTGAAGCTGACCATTCTATATTCAAAAGCTTCATAAAAAATCTATATTCGAAATTCAAATATTTTTTCTGTGTTACTGGCCAGTTTTGCATGAAGTATTTTTACAAACTAGTTGTTCATAGTTGGTATTAAAATTAATTTGATTAGTTTAAAATGTATTGTGTAAAGCGAGAAATTTGGCTTAATGAAAAGTATTAACAAAAAACGCATTTAATTTGTCTGACTTGCCTTTTAAAGTCAGTCTCTTCTAGCTGCTGTTTAAAAGAAAAAGTACATCATTATATCTTTCGTCCTCCCCTTCCAAACCGTTTAATAACAGTAAGTAATAAAATATGAAATCATTTTAAAGTATCATAAAAAGTTGACAAGATAATAAAAGACAAGGCTTGCAATAGTCGCCATAA